GTTTCATAGTCTTAGCTCCAATGAAAATGGCTCGATTATGCTGTGTTTGGGTTATTTTGAATTTATTTAGCCTACATAGCGACCCTAAAGGGATTGGGGAGGGATGAGCAGAGAATGGGGAGGAGAAAAAGAAGGGCTTGCAAGAGAACCCCACAGTTTTACAAAATTTACGTGGAATACGGACGTAAATTCCTTATAGGTCGAGAGGAGCAAGCTGTCAATCAAATGTCAAAGTGATAGATACCAGATTAAGTTGGCGTATTTACTAATATGGTAGGCGATGAAGAAGGATTTTGTAATCAGAGCTTGCTTTAAGTGATTTAAAAGAAAAAGGTTTTGATACAGTACTCAAAGAGGAACAGAGACAAGCTTTGACCTGGACTTTGCTCTGGACTTTTTCCTGTTGGTGTTAAGAATTTTCATTTAGAAGAACTGCTAGAAGAACTATTACTAGTATCGGGACTGCTTTTGCCAGAATTTACAAGAATTTACAAAATATATTTGCCTTTCTAGGACAAGGAAGACAATCATATGATTTGAGACAAATGTTATCTTCAAGTTGAAAACCAACGCCTTGAAGGCGATCGGCGACAGTAAATAAACTGAAACTTTTGACCTCGTAACCTCATACTTATTTGAACAGCTGTTTTTTTAAGTTAGATTTGACAGGCTTTTGAATTATTATTAATTAGGGGGCATTTTGTAAAACTGTGGGGTTCTTTTGCAGGCCCTTCCTTCTTCTCCTTCCCACTCTCCGCTCGGCCCTCCCCAATCCCTTTAGGGTCGCTATGCAGGCTAGAATTTATTTTAAAAGCTCAGATAAGATACATGTATTCATGAACTCAACAATTTTTTGATCTTATTTGTGTACGTCACAGGATAACAATGCAACAACAGCATAACAATGCATTTTTTAAAGTATTTCAGACAATCTTCATGGACTTACTGAAAGTCTCCTTGGATGCCCAATGTTGTATCAAATTATTGATGTAAGTAATATTGTARTGCTGTRTAGTTTTCTTTGTGGTTTCCACAGRTCTTTTATTTGTCCAGCAGTTATTTGTTGTTCAAATGCATGTGATTTATATACAAAGTATGTTTGATTTTTTTTTGTGTTTGCATAGTATGCTAAGGAAAGTTTGACTGATAACAACATACCTAGCTGTACATGTGCAATATGCTTAGGTCACTTTCAGGTTGGTACTATTATTAATTCATCATTATTTAAWCTGATTTACAGTCATTTGATGGAATTCTGACCGCTACCTTATATAGACATATTGATATACAGTGTACTGATATTTCAAAGTCAGTCCTTTTGTTTGCCATTCAACTTCAGAATCTCTTTGAATTACTCTAGACAAAATAGTTCTGATGAGATTTATTGATRTGCAATCTTTTTTAGTGAGTAAAGAGAGAAAATCTTGATGCACTCAATATAATGAATATTGTGGTCAGAAAATTTTGCAAGTGACTGTACACTACCCTTGCAAATCAATACTCTCTAAGTTCACAGTTATAACAAAACATAATCTTTACTTTGCCTATTCTTCCATTTGGTATCAAAAATTAATTTATATAATTGTAATTATACAATGTATCTGTTCCTTAGAGATTCTTTTATTGATTGACATTTTTCTTTTCTATCGCAGGATCACGACTGTTTTACCAAAACGGACTGCTATCATTATTTTCATTGTCACTGCTTACTCAGATACATCGACTATCATCTCAACCACTGTGATGAAAATAGTGATGACAGCAGTGCACAAGTATGCCTACAGTGTTTTTATGTTTGATAATTGCCCTATTTCATTATGACGTCACAGTATGTTTACATCGGAAAACGATGCTCAAAAACGGTGGAAATTTGGACCCATTTATATTGTCGACTAAAGTAGAACTTCAATGAATCATGTATTTATGATTGTTCATGTACATTTTATTTGAAATATAGTCACTCTGATCCTTTCTGGCGACCATAATCCTTAGCGTTAAAACAATAGAATGTTTTGATGTGATGTCATAATGAACTAGGGCAATTATTACTRATATGACTGTCATCGTAAATAATTTCAAAATTATGGTATGTCCAAGAGGAAAAAATGCAATAGATGTTATAGGAATTACATTCACAAAAAGTTTTAAATCTTCATTTTTTTACTGCAAACAACCGAATGTATTTTACTATTAGACAATATACTGGTATTTTATTATTAAAAATCACTCCCCCTATCGATAAGAATGAAATACAAAAGTCTGAAAAGGTTTAAATGAATGTCTGTTATAGTGAGTTTTAAATTGTTTCTTAGCAGATTATTTGTCCAATGTGCCGTGAACCAATCACCTATGACTTGGATGCACTCAAATCAGCACCTGATTTGGACAACAATGAAGAAAAGGTACATTCAACATATTTTACTTATCGTCAGAGAACTTGTAGATACAAAACAAATGCATTTCCTTTTGTGGTGGTTTTCAGTTCCCCTAATTGCCCTAGTTTATTATGACGTCAAATCAAAACATTCTGTTCTCTTAACGCTAAGGATTATGGTCTCCAGAGGGACTCAGAGTGACTGCATATCAAATAAAATGTACATTTGAAACCATTTATACATAATATATCCATCCAATATCCATCCATCCATCCAATATATCCATGCCATCGGTGGCATGGGTGGCCTAGTGGTTAAGCTACTGGCCTCTCACCGCTGTGGTCCGGGTTCGATTCCTGGGCACGGACCATATGTGAGTTTGAGTTTGTTTGATGTGTTGTTCTCTCCCTTGCCACGAGGGTTTTTCTCCGGGTACTCCGGTTTTCCTCCCTCAGTAAAAATCAACATGTGAGGAGTGTGGTGTGCTAAAATACTTAATGTAGAGGTAGTGAGTGTGAGAGTACAGGGYCCGCAGTAATTGGCTCACGCTGTTGCGGTGTCCCTGCCCATACTAGGGGTAAAGCTAATAAATTAAATTAAAAATCTAAAGTTCTACTTTAGGATACAATATAAATGGACCCAAATACATCTTTTCAGTTGCTCTTAGGCCTCGGCAGCATGTTAAATATTCTTTTGAATTTGTAGGAATGTGAGCAATGCACACATTGATATGAATAGTCTCATTTGTCAAATTCAAAAGAATGATTAACGTGCTATCGAGGCCTAAGTGCAACTGAAAAGGTGAATTTCTACCGTTTTTTGAGCATCGTTTTCCGATGAAAATATACTGTGACGTCATAATGAAATAGGGCAATTCCAAACCATCAAACTTCAGAATTCTTTGAATTGTTCAAATGTTTTGTTACTATTGTAGATTGTTTATCATGCTGATGCAGAAATGAAAAGACTTCAACGCGAGATGTCCAAGTTATATAACCAACAGCTGCAGAAAGGAGGAATCATCAATGTCGAGGAGGAGAAAAATAAAGCTGTTATCAGTCTAAMTATGGTAAACTATTTGAATTCTCCATACACGCTGAAGCAGAAATGGGAGTTTAACACCCAAATTTTCTATCACTTCAACGATATATAAATGTGTTAAATTAATATTAAATCAATAGGAATCCAGTAGTCCTCCAATCTCATCTTCAATYGAGAAACCGGTTGTAAGCGAGATACCRAATCCCGYGTCAAGTAACTCCAGTATGTCTAGTTCTAGTTTAGTGGAAAGTAAAGGTACTGAAAGAGAAGGAAAATCACGGGTTGAMAGACCTTCCTCCTCTAGAAAAAAYAGAGGCAGAGGAGGACATCGACCTTGGAGTGAGGGACGGAGGAGCGACCGGAGTGATGATAGATGGAKTGGTCAAGCAAAGGGCTTCGAKAAGAAAAGGGACGTCAATAAACAATTTTATAGGGGTGGCACCTCTCGTAGAAGAACTGCTGACCGAAATGGAAAGGATAATAATAAAACACTTGGAAGTGAAGAAGTTTCAAAGAAAAATCGTGAAATAGAGCCACAAAGACTCAAAGAAAATTCACATGTTGAAAAAGGGGAACAGACACGCCCAGAGAAAGGGGCATTGCCATCGTCGCCTATAGATAACACTAAAAGRAGAAATACCAATACTTTGTCAACAWCGAATGAGATAGAAAATAATACGAGCACATATCGGGAACACACTAAGAAAGCAGATAATAGTAATAATAAACTTAATTCTAATGAAAAAGATGCCCCCAGCGAGACTTCTCGTGCCCTAAGTCATCAAGACAGACTTGACCGCACTCACTCGGAATCGCTCAGCAAAAAACAAGCCGAAGTAGTGGAATCTTCTCAAAAGGGCAAAACACGACCAAAACGGGATAATTACAAATCCTACAGCAAAGAAAGCAAAGTAGTTGATAAACAAAAATACCCGAAGTCGTCTTACAAAAGATCTGAACAATCCAAATCACGGCCTGGTAKTAGTCCTGTTGCGCCTCCCCCTGGATTTGAARCTTTTGATAATAAATCTGGAGGAAGAAGGCCACCGCCTGGCTTCGAAAATAATTCGGACTCTTCAATCCCGAAACCACCTGGATTCTAAATGTCAGTGTCAACGCACGTTATAAAAAATCTGCATATTATTTAACTTCTTGATATTAAAGTTCAAATTATTTTAATTTTACTTTCATTTTTATGACGTTAATATGCATCTATGATTTTGAAACAGCTATTATCATATTTTTCCTATGTRGCGATGTGGCGAGTGATACACTAGACTAATACTCCTTCTTAGTTCACGACTTTGCCTATCTTAACGTTCTTCAATGGGCCGGTTGTAGAAACGGTGGATAAATTATAGCCTCCTCCGCAGACATCACTAAGAGTCACGGGCTTCCTGTCTTTGTTGGGAAGCAAAAGAGGGAGAATTAGGGTGAGAGATGGGAGGCGTTCTCGTCACTAGTCCCTAGCGGTCAAGACGACCGTTACAAAGGAAAATGGTGGGAACTAGCGGTAAACTAGTGTGAGCTGCGTCGGTGTTTCTAAAGAAACAGTTTTGTAAAAAGATAAATTTGTAAATTTAACACCGTAAAAAAGTATGTGGAATAACTTACTGACGTTTCGGATGTTAATCCTTCGTCGGAGTAAAGAGAGAGAACTAGGTATAGTGTGAGTTTACAAAGGAAGCCCAAAGGAGGAAAAAAGAGTTGCCTGGGAAGGAGACTGTAGATAAGTTATGCACTCCTTAGATTTTGCATTGATTTTAGTTTTTGCGCTGGATAAGGATTTATCTATCCGATGGTAAGACACATATTCACTACCCTTAGTACAACACACCCTGAATGACCTGAATTTAGAAACAAGTGTTAGTGAGTGAGGACTGACATCAAATTCTGGTGCTCTCATTTCTACGTGTTCTGACGTATCTTGTGTGCAGKCGTTCATCGTTGGGGGCGGAGTGAAGGCTTGTTCTGACGTACTTTCTTTATTTAGCAGTGATAGGGTCACGTGACATGTAAGTTCAAATCGATCGAATMAGTATTTAGCGCAACTGATAAAGTATTTTCAAGTTTTACGTAAAAAAACGGTACGTCAGTGATCGAGTGGTGCTAGAAACCCTCGGGTTTMTCWCTTTGTCGTCTTTCATTTATCCGAAATCGTCAGGCTATTTTCCTTCTTGRACAAATGGATTAATACCATTACAAGCAAATCAACGAACTCTACCAGTGTCAAGATACTACATCCCAAGTAAAGGCCCATGTTACCACCAAGGTTTCCTGGAAAAATAAGGAAAAGCGTACTCACTGACAAAGGGGTTTTAAAAAATCACAAATAAGTACTTCAGGCAGCCCAGGCTCCTCAGTCTTGATATATAAATGCGAATTAGAATTAAGATTCGAATAAAAAGTTTCAAACTGCTCTAAATCGACAACAGCGATTGGAAATACGCCAAGAGACCATTTTCTAGCATTCTACCCAATAATGCTTTACGGGCTGTGTGATAACGGGAATACCATAAAACTTACCAGCCAAATCCAAGGCATCAAAGGCGRGAATTTCTTGTATTATTTCAACGTCTTTTGATGAAAAGAACACTTTCACACGAGCATATCTTCCTCTGCAACAAAATAAAAGGCATGTATAAAACATCGATCAACAGCAAGTTAACAATGGCAGTCGACGTAGGCAATGGTGATTATAGAATGATTTTACCTAAACCACTCTGAGTATGAKTCGTCGTCAACTTTGGACTTGTTGAATTCTTTCTTAAAGTCATAATTCAACCCACAGAAATAATTTTCTGTTTTAGAGAAGTCGTCCAATGCTGGTTTATTGAGATACACGACTGATGAGGTTTGCACATCGTAAGACAMACTCGTACAATTTGTTGGGCATGCACTTGCATCGGTATTGAAGAAGTCTGTAATTAAAAGACAGTGACTTGATTATAAAAGGTTTTCTTCTTGTCTCGCACACTTCCATTGTTGGTCCTAACTCGTCACTCAAAATCACTGATCACTTTGATTGTACCACCTCTAATGTTGTCTATTGCATTAAATGTTCGCTTTGTAATTTGTTGTATGTCGGTGAGACTGGCCGTCGTCTTGGCGATCGTATCTGTGAACATCTTCGTAGTATTCGTAAGAATGATCTTGATAAGCCTGTCTCCCGCCATTTTAACTTACCCAACCACTCTATTTCTAACTTTATTGTTTTTGGTTTGTCTTTGATTAGCGGCAATAATGATTGTCGCAAAACCAAAGAAATGCGGCTTATTCACCAATTNAATGGCCGATTGTTGAGAAGTGTTTTCGCTATAATATCTGCAAGTTTCAGACCATTTCAAGATTTAAAAGTCGAGAAAATCGGCAAAAACCAATTCTATCGTACTTCCAAATAAAACGAAGGACAACTTTTGTAGGGCAATTCTAGAATAACTGAACAACACATTTCAACAAGTGTTTCCGAGAAGTGAGCAATGGAGAGCGATAGCATATACAACCTTTCCTTTCCTTCTGCAACTCGGTCACACGATTATCTAATGGTCCATTTTCTTTGAGTGTTTGATCGTTTTGATTATCATTTTTTTTATTGACATAATGTATACCTTCTTTTTTCGAATCCTAAGATTYGTTATAAATCCGGTAGGAATATCAATGGCATATCTGTCCATTGCTGGGTAAATATCAGGATCATGGACCATGAGTTTGAACCCAGCTCCACCCTGAATGTATGATCCATAATATTCGTGGGCTTCAGTGTCTAACAGCAGGGACAATCCATAAGCCTCCCCAAGCTTACGCACCTTGTTCTTGACGTGAATGGTGTGGCACAAACCTGACTGAGTTAGTATTTTGGATGAGGATAATCATAAAGAAAACTAACAATTAATACATCACATGTTTTGTTTATAAAATTCAGTTTTGATATATAACGCACGCTCTGATTGGCTGACAACCGTGTTATATCAGAGGACAGAGACAAGTCTTACCGGCAAAATTTCAGTGTTTTTCGCTCGAAAATGCAAAAAAAAAAAGAACTATAAAAATATAATATTTGACAATTAGACCTTGAGGGCAAGTGGACTAATTGCTTAATAGTATTACCATACTAGTTAGACAGAAAAAAAATGATTTACATTTGTTTTATTCTAAAAAATCTCTGACGTCATTTGAGACACTTGGCCAGTTTAACAAGTGAAAAGTTTCACTACACGATGGTGAAAATTGTTTTGAGTGAAAAAAACTTAAAATTTTCCTTAACACAAAGATTTGACCCACAATATTTCCCAAAAAAAATCAAAGTTGGCACTTTTCACAATTCGATGACTATTGAAAATAAACCCCGAGTAGCGTAGCCAATCAGAACGAAGGATTTGCACGCGTATATATAGCGTATATAATACGCGCGTATCACGCATTAGTTAACGTACGTAATCATATTAACTTACTCCTGCACCCAAAAAGCTGTCGATCGTTACGTTATTTTGGGGCCCTGGACACAACGAAGCAAATCTAGTTTCCTTGATGACATCTGTTGCACGATGACCATTTGTAAGAACTTCCTTCTCGATATTGAACGAAGCGTTTATTTTGCGGTGGATTTTTGGCCAATCTTTTTGGTTGTGATAGTTTTGTCCATCTAGCCAAAACTGTCCGTCTTTCCCCAGTATTTTGCTCTTTTTTAGCAAATTCTTGCTGCATACAGTAACAGCGGGGAACTTTAATTCCTTGAAGGAAACACATGAAAACGGTTGTATCAAACCTGTAAATATTTTGACAAGAAAAATTCAGAGCAGGAAACAGACTTCCGGCAAAAGTCGACAAACTAAAAGTCGTTTAGAGATAGAAAACACTCACTTTTACAATGTTTGCGATTTCATTAGTAGAAATGAAAAAAATATCATTTTTGAGTGTTTTTTTTTTCAAAATATCAATTGAAATATTCTCAAATTGGGCATTCTGTGGCCATCTGAGAAAATGCTTGGAAATTCAACGACTTGTGTACGGTGACACGGTCTATCGGACAATTCTTTTAGTAAGGGATCGATTCGAAATATTTTTTTAAAACTACAGTCAGTAGCAGAGGCACAGCCTTAAATTCTCTCAACAAAAGCCTCAACAAATTGACAGTATACGGACGTAAACAGAACATGGGAATTATTTTTTGTTCGTACCTTTCGTTTCAAACTTTGTCATGATATAAACTTCGTGTTTCTTCCACTTCATGTAAGCTTCATGAGCTTGATAGCCGAAGATACAGCTTGCAGCCAACAGCAATAAGAACCAGATGGCTCGACGAATAGTCCATGGCGAATCGAACAAGAAATGCAGACCATGTAGAGTGTTATAGCTGCAGAAATCTTTACAGAGCTCTCGTATCTTGGACGACATGATGAAATGGTTTAAATCTGGTTGTTTTTCAGGCTTATTAAGTTGAYGATAGTTTAGATGATAGTCATCTTTTATAAAAAGAGACTTTAAAAACAAACAACAAACTATGAATTATTAAAGTCAAGATTAAGATTGATAATATCAATTGAAGTAATGAATAATGATGAAGATACAAACCAGACAAGGGAATAAAAGCCAGACAATGAATAAAAATACCGAGAAAAGAAAGAAAGAACGATAGAAAAATTAATAAAAATGGAAAAAGAAAAAGGTGGTGAGCTTAAATATGCATTCAGTGATCGTATGAATGCTCATTTCGAACAGGTGTCTAAATTGTCAAAAAGTATACACCAAGGCTCCAACAGAGTACAGCTTGTCCCTAATACCCAAGTGTTGATTCAAAAGCTCCGCTCTTTTTTTAGAATTTTTGTCCTCAGATAAGTTCTTCAAGT